ACCATATTAACTTGAGCTGTCTGAGCACTGGCATCGGACTTCCAGCTGCATTGGCTTTAAGCAGTGTGGCACCGTGTCTGGCTTGCAGTGTTCCAGCGCAGTCCTCGATTCTGGCTCAGAGGCTAACCGAGGTTATTGCATGCCAAGACTGGTCCTTGGCTACAAATAATTTAAGATTTAAATTTTTAAGCACACGGCTGCGCATATTCCGGCTACTTCTTCACCTTCAAGCCGGCAACAACAACACAAGGCTGCGCACACTCTCCGCAGCTGACGCTGGGGCTTAGTTGTCGTCAGGGCTAAAGTCGATGGTGTAGAAGGCTTTCGACGGGTTCTTTCGGTAACACGCTGCCAGGCGACAAAGAGACATTCCTAACCACAACTATCCTTCTGCCACGCGCACCGGCAGGGACCATTGAAGAGATTATGTCTGTTACCCATTTAGGAGTGTCGAGGCTATGTCTGTTACATATTTAGGGAGTCTATTTAGAGGATCAGAAGCAGGATCAGAGAAGGGAACCCAAGATGTTAACAAAGGAAGCGATTGGAGGAAGGGTGTCAAATTAAAAAGTTGTTCGCGCTAACTATTCCAATAAATCTCATGGGTCGTAAAGCCATAAGGAATCTAACTGAAATCGGGAATTTCGCGAGGAATCTATTTCATAACCTCTACATTGCCAATCAATCCTCAGCTAGTTACTAGGAACGAAGTGGGGGCAAGCAAAGTGGAATGGCTAATAGTATTCTTTATTCGGCGAGAGAATGGCTAAGCAAATCAGCCAATCCAGTGCTCAGCCGACCATCCCCGATCTCCTCACCTCCTAGCAGGTTCTGTAAATTATAGAAAGAGAAACTGAATATCACGGAGTAAGATTTGGAGGAACGTAAAGTATAGATTAATATTATTAGAGCAATTAATTTCAATACACTGACTAACGGCCAGTAAGTGTAGATACAAGATGGCGGAATCGGGTTCTTAAGAGTCCCCAAAATTGTATTGGCAGAAGGCCAAGAACCAAGTGGCCAACCATTTCCCGTACCTAGAAACGTTGGTAGGATCTAAGTACAATGAAGGCATCCAGCAGTTGACTCCGGGACCGTATATCCACGTATGATGCTCCGCCAGACCATCGACCGTCTCACATAAGGTGCGTGTGACCGTCTCATAAAGTGACATAAGCGCGACCGTCTCACATATAAAGTATACATGTAAGGTGGAGTAGAACGGTAGCCAAGCGTAAGGTGTGCTCTGGGCCAAGTAAGGGGAGAGTTTGGCGGAAATAAACTTCGGTATCACATCTAAAAGAATCGCATTTATACTCAGATTTGCAATTTCCAAGCATCGGTTAAACACAGTGTATGACAAAGTCAGTCAGTCTTCATCATCTTTGTCATCATCAGTTGACAATTAAGATTCATTTGAATGTTCTACTCATTTGAATGTTCTAAATTCTTAATGAGAGGTTCAATAAATATAAACAAAAACAGGGTCTCGTGGTGCGTGAGCAGAAACGGTACTTACACCGATAAAAACTTATTACAACTAGTAAAATTCTGGTAATAAAGTCTAGATTTTGGCACCTACTTTACTATCCGAAGATTTCAAGTGCCTGCACGGCGTTCTGGGATGTTCAGATTACGAAAAAACGACACGTTGCAATCAGGGTCCGATGAGGCGGACATCGGATAACGCGCTCGGTCATTACTATCAGTTATTATCAAAAATTTAGTACCAGAATCATATAATAATATATATTATTCTCTTCACCTTTTTTGTTTATTTGCTTATGAGGGACGGGAATAACATTTACGTACTTAAATTGGACATTTTGTTTCACGCCGAAGGTCATCAATTTGAACCATGCTGAAGGTGTTCTACTGTCTGGACAACGCCCGGGCCCGTACATAGTACCATTAATAACTCGACATATCAATTCATTTATTGATATATGTTGGAACAGATAAATTTTTACACAGAATGAAGCGCTCGCCATAGGTTATGACAGACCGGGCGAGCAGTTAGTGCGTGTCATTCCCTGATTAAAAAAGATTATTCTCTAGCCAAAGAACGTGAGATTTCGTGCTGTGCATCGCATTTGATCAGAAAAGAACATTGCTCTGCCGCACAATCGGCTTGTTACTACACTATTAGATTCATGTGAATCTTTCTCCAAGCTCTCGAAAAATTTGATCAGAGTTTTAATTAATACGACATTGCCGAGTTAAGAATTTTTGATTTCCCAATGTTAACGAAATTTTTTATCCCGTATTCTTTATGAACTTAAAAGAGATGACGACGGTGTATAGAAGGCTGATTAAATTTTGAATTTGAATAAATTCAATTGAATTTGATTAAATTTAAATTAAATTTACGATTTTATATTATGGGATTTGGGACACTCAAGGCCTTCAGATTATTCGACAGGAACAAAATTTTCAGAGATAAACAATTAGCCTTTATGCTCACTAATTCCTGGGAACAAAATGATTCCGACTTGAAATTGAAATTCTGTATGACTTTTAGAAGGAAAATTAAATTGAAGCGAAAAATGAAATTAAAAATTTATATATATTCAGTGACAATTTTGACCCGTTAATGATTTAAGCTGCATTTCTAAGCAATATATTGGTTTCAAAGTTTTGAAAATTACTAAAAAAATTTCGATATTGCATATATTACGAAAATAACACGTCCAAACATTTATTTGGTTTTACTAAATTGTTGCAGGTCCTAAGAATTTTATGTTGCTTGTTTCAGCCATTAATATGTAGCTGTTATAAATCCATAAGACCACAGACAGTGCTGTGTTGAACTGAAGGTGATGTGTGAAAATCTATAATAATCCTTCTCAATAACTATATAATAACCCCAAGCATAGATATTCTTGAAAACCGATCCAATCTATGAATTAGCAAAAGTTTACAATGGGAGTTTGACATTGCCTACTGTTAGATATAAACATCTTAATTAGTTCCACTGAAGGGACAGCCTCTTTTTTCGTGTTCGCAATTACAGCTGATTTACATGAGAGTTTCGTGCTGGTTGCTGCCCCGGCAAGCACTTTATAAAATTTCAATTTATTTTGCCTTGAACATTGAATACGAAATTTATTTGATTATCAACTTCCATTCTTCAAGCAGTCCAAACTCCAAACCCACAATTATGGTGAAGATTTCCATTCGCCAATTTTAAGTACCTACCAGTAGCCACAGAACAATCATTTTCTGTGACTATAATCACTAAATGCAAGATAATTTTCAATTTGTGCTTTTACGGCACAACTGTTCAGCAGTACGATGATATTTACATGAAAGTTTCGAAGTTTGTTAACAAAGCTACTAAACGTAACTAAGATGGGTAGCATTTTCACATTCTTTTCAGACGTAGCCGATCTCTTTCTTTTTTTATGTCCATTTGATTATTAGTCAACTTTTAAACTGATGATAATGCTGTTAATCATTTCTACATAAAATATCACATCCCAAAATAAACTTTAGTATTTCAGAAAAATTTTGTACTTCCTTGTCCCTTGGATCGACTCATCCATTCCTGGGAACACTTTTACCGAGCATAAAAATGACCGTTTTTCAGACATAGACTTAGCGAGCATTTGGACCATGCAGGCATATATGAAGCATCGATTGTAATCGTAAATGCAGACGTATTCCCGTAGCGTGACAGCCGCTGCGGCGCATTATAAGCTCCTTGACAACCCGACGATGCGCACTAAATATTATATGTGGACATGAGGCGTGGCCCTGTTGTTTCTACCGAAGAAACTGTGCTAGATCAAAGTAAAATGATAACCATTTTAAGTATAAATGAATTTTTCTAATGTTATAATTATGCAGATAGAAGTCTCTTAAATTAAGAAGGTCTAAATTCAACGATTGTTATCCTGGCGAACATCTCATGTGCTTTTAATTTCATTGGTTGGAAGCAACTACAAACAAACGAAAACAAGTTTTCAAATAAAATATGGCATGTTGATTTGACAGAATCTGATTTTTAGGATTGACTATTTGCGTTAGGCTGGAAATCCTTGTGCGGAATCACTGGTAATTCAAAACATTCCAAACGCACGTTCTAGATCACACAAACGCCAACTCACATGCACAGTTTTACACCCACATCACCTACATGCATTTGTCTGGAAAGCCAGTTATTGTAGTTAAAGCATCCAGCTACATTGACCCAAACAAAACTACTCACTCAGTAACACCTTTGATCAGATCATCTGCACACCACTCACTAACTCGTTTTGGAACGGTGTATCCATGGTTGAACTTACACTAAGGTTGACCCACGAGAAGTTCCGCCTATACTAGTTCAACCATGGGTTTATCTAATAACCCAATGTTCATATAGTGGAAACTAAACTCATGATTTTTCTGAAAATGTTGAAAATAAATTCTCTTTTCTTTCAATTATTTTTCTTTTAGGTTCTTAGCGTGAGGATATGTAAAGAACGTAAGCAAATTCATGTCAACATATCGATTCATTTAAACATTCAAGTTTCATCGCGATGTGCAGCGGGAGGGTCTATATAAGGTATTGTGGTAAATGGAACAATAGCGTGCAAGTGTCCATAGTGAAATAAACTACCTCGTTTCCACATCCTTTTAATTATAATTCAATTCTGCCTGGTCAACATTTCTCAAACGACAGCAAATGTTAAATCGCGCAATGCACGAATCTAAAATATACGATGCCTGATCATATCTTATTTTAGCTAAAAACCTGAATCTTCTAAAAAAAATTTGTCAATTTGGCTCCCTTATTCTATCATAAGATGCGTGATGCCAACTACCAAGAAACAACTCCTAAATTCTCGATTAAAGTCACAGTAAGTCGAACTGAACAAGTCCAATCTCAAACTCTAAACAAATCCAATCTCAACTCTAATTGAACTTGATCGACCCGCCTGCACTGCACGCCTCAGAATACTACGTATTTGTTTTACTAAAACAGAGACGATGTTGCTACGGCGTGCGTCGGAGTTCGTTTTGCAGCGAGCTGATTGTTAAAACAAAAAACAGAATTATTTATCTAAAAAACATAGAATTGCTATGGTTGTACCATAAAATCAACGTAAATCTGGTTGAGCAAGACAAGAGATATACCATATGAAACTATTGTCTGTTTTCCTCTAATGAAACAAGAATAATTATTGTCAATTGTCAGATGGAATCAATATGCCACTGCAATAGCATATTGCACGTATCTCAAATGCAATCGAATAACTGCCAGCTGGAACTGAACATTTTATGAAAATACACCGGTGATGGCTGCTCCACAACCGGGATTTGTGCTGGTGCTACTGGTGTGGTGGTGCGCGGGGTACGCAGCGGGGCAGGCGTCGGAGGGGTACTCAGCTTGGCAGGCGCCGCAACCCCGACTTGTTGTTGCACCGACGGGGACATTTGTCTCCGTGCTGAACTCCTTCATGGCGACTGGCGAGGCCTACGACAGCCTGCCCGCCAGCAGCCTTTGTGAGTGAAAGATCTTAATTGATATAATAAGATGATGTTAGAAGAGTTCGATGAAGTTGAAAAAATACGTATTGCTTAACATAGAATGTATATTTCCTCTTAAAGGCCTTTCTGATTTTACTTTCGTAAAATTTCAGCTCCGAAAAAATCTGTTATTTTTGCACATGTATTAAAAATTTTTGCTAAAAAAACAAATTTGGGCCTGAAAAACGGACCGTTGCTCAATAAGTTTCATCAGTCCAGGCAGTGAAACATGTTGCATAAATTAAATGCTTGCAGATGATCAAGAATGGGCGACAGGCCTACAACATAATGAACGCTGAAACGCTAATTTTTTTAATTCATCTTCTATGATCTGGAACAATGTACAAGAATCGGCAACAGGCCATGGGCCTATTTCTTCAATGCCAACACTTCTATTCTATTCTAATATCCAGGTCAGTGTCGGCAGCAGTGCTTTGTAGACCCGCGGTGCATGGCTCTGTCGTACCACCCTGGGCAAGAGAGGTGCTACCGCAGCAAGTATCCAACCCCAAACTCCAACATCCCTGGCGCCGTCTACGAATATAAAGGTGAATACAATAACTTATATATGCTATCTTTCTTACTAAATTATTCTCTATAAGTTATACTTCACTAAATGATAGCATATCCACTGCTAACGTCCCTAAGAATGAAGTATAAGTGAATTGATTTAATCTCTGTAAAACTGTCACATTATGGGACGATTATTATAATAAATAATAAAAAAGGTTGATTGCCGCTTTTCGTTGACAATCTTATCGTAGGTCGAGACTGGAGAAGGGCTGATAAATTTAAGATATCAGCATTACGTTTTTTGAAGATGCGGCTATAACATCTCACTTCTCGTGGTCATGGGTCAATGTCACGGAACACGGACGTAACAATTTGCCTCAACGCAAATTGTAACAAGTGTTACTCTACAGTCTACACAATGCGTTACGAGTGTACAGAGTGTGTAACGCGTTTAATTTTTTTGTATTAGTTGGTTCCAATTTCAGTTCTTTACTTTATATATTGTAAAGAGTATTTCCGTTGTATTTGTATTAGCTATTATGTTCAAATAATAAATACATATTCAGACTTATGTTCCAATAATAAATATATATTCAGACTTGAAATGACTAGCACCATATCGAACCCGGTGCAAGTCTAGTAGCTACTTCAAACCATCGTCAGTCATGAAAAGATCCGGTCAAATGACACGATGTTAGATCTTCTGTGAACAAGGCACGAAAAGGAAAAATTATGTTATGTTATCTTATGTTATGTTATGTTATGTTATCTTATGTTATGTTATGTGAACAGTGAAGTCCCTGACGCGAGGCGACGATGGGCTGTTCTACGTCACTTTGGACACGCCATTGATTCCAAGAGATCGCTGCGTGCAAATGTGCTCCAACATGACTGGCTTCCATCTTCCCTTCGCCAAAACTCGAGTCTCCATGGATTACCTCAGAAGCTGTGAGCAGAGTTTTCTCATCCATTCACAGTTTAAATATAATTTTTCTCGAGCGTTTTTGCTATTTTTCATTCGTATTTTCTGCTATTTTGTTAACACACACACCAAAGTGTGTTATTTGTTCGCACTTCAAATGATTTTTCAATTTGAATTCGATGAAACATGAATTGAAAATCCCTGGTGTCATGCAGCATCCGAGTCATTCAATAATTAATTTACAGCAGCTGTATATTGGTGTCATGCAGCATCCGAGTCATTCAATAATTAATTTACAGCAGCTGTATATACAGGAAAATGCATGAATACTGCATGTGTACGTAAGGAAATATACATATATATCCTGTGCTACATTTTCAATCTCGTTCATACTAAAAATTTACATCTAAACTCGCGTGTTCTAAACTCTCTAAACACGTGAGACAATATTGTCATACTCGAGCAGAGGCATGCCTACATATATACTACCACGCAGAAGTACACAATACGTAGTACTGCCATGTCATACTTTGCCCACGGTTCTGAACAATACATTATTATCGCATAGAAACCTGGATGATTCACGAAAGCACTGAAATGCAAAGAAAGCGTTATGACTAAAATTCTGAAATCCGCATAAATATATTAGTTCCTCTACTTAAAAAAATAGACAACACACAAATCACTTTCACATTTATACACTAATCACAGTTGTCAGGCAAGTAATTAAGTGATTAATTAAACTCATGCCAAGTCATTCCATGATATCGTTTACTCGCAACAGTTCCTCGTACCTTCATCGGACTGACGAAGAATAGGGCAACAGGAGCCATAACGTGGGATGACGGCACTCCGCTGAACCGTGTCGCCTTGGGACTTTCTTCTGAACCCTTTATCAATAATGGGTGTGGTACTGACGCTACATCACCTTCTCCCGTCATCTTCGTAATGTATAACGGCCTCATTGATGACACGTGCACTCACGGCATGTGTGCTTGCCAAGCGGACTTCAGCGCAGGCAACAATTGATTTAACGAGGTGGCCCAGTGGTTAAAGTTCCTGAGTATCAAGATTGGCGCAGAGAGGCGCGGGTTCAATCCCAGCTCTGTGCGCCAGTTTCTGGTCAGAATCGGCAAGGAGGCCGGGCGGTTAAGCACAGAAAATTTGAAGCAGGGAGCTTCAAGTTCGAGCCCGCAACAAGCTGTGGATGTTCTGCGATGTTAAGAATCGGCGACAGGCCTACGGCCTAATAAATGCTGAAACCGCTATTATTATTATCTGCGGAACATCGTTTAGGAAAATAATAGAGCTATTGCATACTAGTTTAGATTTACTGCTGATCACTGGGGGCAACAGCCACCGCCCTGATATCATTCTAACGTCATGCCATTTTGAAAGTCAAGCAACTGAAACCATACCTCAAGATCAATGTATTAAATCATCACGATTTTAGTCGTCATTATTATATAATCTAGGATAACCTTAGGTATTAACCAATAGTATCTCTTTATCAGGTGCTAAAAATTATGCTGGAAAACCTGCATATAACCCAGACTCAAACCTTTTTCTTTACCAATAGCACAATATAGAGTTGCTGATTTTATTCCTTGTCTTCAACCTGCAAGCAATCCCATGCCAAGTTTTAAATGAATTTCTTATTTGGTTCATTTACCAGGCCTGGTCGACCTCAACGCGCCTTCGCCTTCTCAGGCGGTTCCTCCCACACACCCTCAGGTGAGGTCGGCAGTGAGGGCAAACTTTTGTCCAATGTTAATGCCACGTCCTCCCTCACACCCTCAGGTGAGGTCGGCAGTGAGGGCAAACTTTTGTCTAATGTTAATGCCACGTCCTCCCTCACACCCTCAGGTGANCGTAGATTAACGATAAGACATGGCAATGCGTGCTATAGTAATAATCCGTTCATATAATTTCGTTAAATAAAGAGATCTGTTTATACGGGAACTTTTTCCTGTGCCCGTATTATTCAGTTCCTAGAATACGTTTTCTAGAACACTTTGGATTAATAATGATTTGACAAAGCAACTTATTGCAAGTAAGGCTTATTTATTGCTTGCTACTAATTATTTCAGAGGCGAACAAAATTAATCATTATTTCCCGACAACGGATTGTCATATTGAGCAACACTCTATGAGTATAATCCTGCATAGAATTTTCAAGCTTTATTTACAGAAATCATACATAGGAGATTATGATGCAGTTAGCAGCAAATTACCCTCTTGAATTTAGACACCGAAGATAAAGCTTGACTTGCCCTGACGTGTACCTCATTTGTTGCAGCCATCTGGCTGCTTGATCTCGACGAGCGTACTGGTCCCTCTGTAGATCACATTGCGGTTAATACTATATTAATAATATTATATAATATGAACATTATGTAACATAGTATATAACATGAACATTATGTACCATTATAGAACATACTCTTGAACAAAGGCGATATTTCTTGTTTATGTAGTCGTGCTTTATTTGTGCTCACGTAACTAGCTCTTTTTCTTTCTGCATCCGGGTTATAACATAACATAACATAGTGATGTCGGCTCTGAAGTGTAGGCCTGATGTGGCCTGTCGCCGATTCTTTTCCATTTCGTGCCTTGTTCATAGATCTAAACCTGTCTCTTATACACATCTAGATGTGTATAAGAGACAGCACCATCTCACTCAAGGAGTTTACTACATCATTCAACAATTTCGACTCATTGCCGTGCTCTTCCACCAACTCCTCTCTTTTTCGAGCACCAAGAGTTGGTTTTTCGCAATCACGGCAAAACCAATGAAGCAATTTAGATTTCTGGAGAAATGAGTACTCCTTAGAGCTCAACTTTGAACAGCTGATACAAATGAGATCTTCACATCGTNTGCACTTAACACTGCATTAATAAGATTGAGATGGCAGAATTCGTTTTTTGCGAAACACGTATGATTAAACTTACGGATTATTAGATAGATTGCTTCTCAAGCCAGGCAGCCGTAGATTAACGATAAGACATGGCAATGCGTGCTATAGTAATAATCCGTTCATATAATTTCGTTAAATAAAGACATCTGTTTATACGGGAACTTTTTCCTGTGCCCGTATTATTCAGTTCCCAGAATACGTTTTGTAGAACACTTTTGGATTAATAATGATTTGACAAAGCAACTTATAGCAAGTAAGGCTTATTTATTGCTTGCTACTAATTATTTCAGAGGCGAACAAAATTAATCATTATTTCCCGACAACGGATTGTCATTGAGCAACACTCTATGAGTATAATCCTGCATAGAATTTTCAAGCTTTATTTACAGAAATCATACATAGGAGATTATGATGCAGTTAGCAGCAAATTACCTACTTGAATTTAGACACCGAAGATAAAGCTTGACTTGCCCTGACGTGTACCTCATTTGTTGCAGCCGTCAGAGCTGCTTGATCCCGACGAGCGTACTGGTTGGTCCCTCTGTAGATCACATTGCGATTAATACTATATTAATATTATATAATATGAACATTATGTAACATAGTATATAACATGAACATTATGTAACATATTATATAACATGAACATTATGTACCATTATAGAACATACTCATGAACATATGCTATATTTCTTGTTTATGTAGTCGTGCTTTATTTGTGCTCACGTATATAGCTCTTTTTCTTTCTGCATCCGGATTATAATTTTTTACACCATTAAACTTCAAATATATTGATTTTTGCTGATTAAACTTGTGTCTAAAATTCTTTAAGCTTAAAGCGTTACTTATTAATTATTAAGAAAGTTTATTACAATAAGCGATGAGCGTGACAAGGAGATCAATCCGAACTATGAAATTGATGCGACCTTTCATCCAACCTTCGTAACTCGGTTCATCCCAAAGATGGAACCAGATGCTGCAATCACCTTTCATTTTACTATTATGTTCCAGCCAACATATTAAAAAACAACCGATTTTCAGCCTAAAACTAGTAATTTCGATGACCGCGCGGACACATGAACCGTCGATTGAACCCGTAAATGAAGACGTTTTCCGGCAGCGTAGAGGCGCTGCATCGCACCGACTTAATTAACAAAACACCGACAACGTGGACTGATATATATACGGACACTAAGAATCGCCTCTGACGATTCTTCAATCAGGGAAATGTGATAGGTCATAATATTGCATATATGACCTATTTAAATTACATATTTATGACCTAACCACATATTGTTAACAAAACCTTATAAAACCTATTGTTTAGAAACCTTCAACATGAATCTAGCGGCTCTGAAGTTTAAATAATATTACAAGGTAAATAAATGCATCCGCATTAACGCTTATATATTGTCATTATATTATTTGTTGACTTGGGAAAACTTTGAAAATGATACCATTTGATTAAAACCAAATCAGCCTTGGCTTTACTCCTCCACTTTGTATGGTTGACTGACTTTTTGAGTTAGGAGCGAAACTTTCACTGCAGAACGATCACGCCATTCGAAGAAGCTTGAATAATATCCACTGCAAACTCTGTACTATACACATTATACGATACTACTACTTCTATGAAATAATGGTCAATATAAATTCGCTAAAATTGGGCGAAAGAATCGAATGAAAGATGTTCAAAGTTATTTCGTGGGCAATTATATGATCACGTTTTGAAATTGAGAAGTATTAGCCGACCATGAGGCAGACACTTTTCAAGAAGAGGACAAAGCCGAGTGGTGCACGGCTGATTGGTGTAGGTCCGGAGAGATCCAAGGCGTTCGATTCAGGGCTTATTGGTGCACAAAATTGGTGGTGCACGGCTGCGCTCCCTTCTCGCCGACGAAAACTTGAGGTCACGGACGGACGGACAGACAGACGGACATGGCGAGCAAAATAGTAAATTTTTTCCATAAATGAGAAAATGCGCTAAAAAGGAAGCTATTGTTTGTCGCTCTCGAAAGCCCCCGCACTTAGAGTTTGGAAACAAAAATTTTGTCGAAAAGTTTCAAATACGTGCAACACGAGTAATTCCAGGTTTGAAGGGTATGCCTAATGAAAAAAGAATGAAGATTGTGAAGCTTCCAAGTCTTTGTTATCAACATTTAAGTGTCGACCTCTTCGAAGTGAACAGGTATACTCATGGTTTATACAACATTCCAGAAGGTTTGCAATATTATAAAAAATATACCAGGGAAAAACTATAAATAATAAAACCTGCTGTGTAACTCATCAATGCAACAACTTTTTACGCTTCGAATCACCGAGATGTGGAACAAACTTCCTTCTTGCATCGTTGACGCTCTTGGTATAAATGCGTTCAAGAATAGACTATATGAAAATATTCAGAATGACATGCTTCGAATAGCAGCGCCTACCATGTCACAAATCGGTGGATGCTCTGCAGCTACTTAGATTCAGCGTTAATTTTGAATAGCCCTGGTCAAAAGACCAATCCTCAGCTGATCCAAGAGCATTACATGCACCAGCGGTAGGGCAACCTGGAGTACCTATTCTCAACGAGTATATATGTGTATGTTTCGCTGTAAATGTCAAGGAGTTCAAATAAAATTCCGTATTCGATTTTTTGAACAGTTGTCATATCATTTTACTGTACATAACGAGTTAAATATATTTCAATAACGCATTTGTAAAATTTTGCATAGAGCTTATAATTTTTGGCTAACTGACATTTGTTTGGCTCCAGTCACTTACAGTTCATCTATAACATGGCGTCGCGAAGCGCCTGTCATTTTTGTGCACTGTGCTTGTAATCATGTTACCATCTTCAAAATATTTTTTATTGTAAAGTGAAGTGTATACTTGTAAATTGCAACCATGTCGTTAGGAGGCCTTCTCTCTCTGAAATGGAATAACCATTGTTCGACTTTCCTCCATATTTTGTCTAATCTGCACAGAAAGGTAAGTTAGCATCTGAAAATAACTAATTCCGTAATATTTACAAATTGTTTATGGCGCAATCAAATGACTAATATAATTCTCATTATTTCTCAACTAAATTTTTTATCAAAGCCTTCTTAGTTGCCATTCCTTTCAAATAAGTTTGATTTGTAAAACATGATGTTGGGACCGGACAGTTTGGGTTGAGCAACTTCAACTTGAGCTTACCTTAACTTAACTAAGCAAGGTTATGAGCTAAATATTGACCATTTAACTGATTTCAATATACAAAAACACTTCAGGAATGCAGATCTTCTAAACATTGAAGAGTCATATAACAGATAGGTAGCTGATAACACAGTGCACAGCACTATCAATAGATCTACTAGTTTTATGTCCTATAAATCTACCATACTCTACCTTCTATACACACCAACTAGTAGTGACTGAGTGACTGACTGCACTGTTCCCATTTAATTCAGACCAATAAACCAATACTAAGCATAAACTGAACGATAACCAAACAAACCTCATACTTAAGCCAACGTACTTAATCATTTTTTCAGTAGCGTATTTACTGAAGAGGACTTGAACAGTATTCCAGCCATTGAGGAGCGCCCAGTCGGCTCTAAATTAACAAGCTTTCATATACAAGAAGAAGAGGTTCTCAAGCGCCTTATCGCTGTAAATCCAAACAAGTCATGTGGACCAGACGGTTTCCACCCCAGATTACTCAAAGAGTTAGCAACTGTCCTAGCC